TTGTTTGATGTCCTGATAAATGAAAAAAAAAAAAAAAAAGAGAGATAAGTATCGATTTGCAATGATTTTATGGAGTATCAATCACCTCGCGGTACTTAAAAAAAAATCTCTTATCATCACTTACTTTCAGCTATACATAGCTATCCGTTCGTTCGAATTATTTTTGTCGGTACACGAGGGGGGAGAGTTTGTTGATTTTAGTTTTAAACGATTAAACGCGCGATAAGGTACTTCCCAAGCCTTCTTTCTCGAATATTTACTCTACTTTTTTCTAACCATTTTTTTTTATTATTGATTATTGATATTTATCGACAGAAATAAATCACCTCAAATCGCACGTTACGTGCCATATTCGGCAAATATTGTATTTCAACTTGTCTTCGGTTATTAATGTTTATTGTAGATCAAGATTAACAAGTGTCTAGAAATAACTGATAATAAAAGGTAAATTGAGCATGAGATTTCGCAATTATGTGATATTGTTCGTGATACTCTACAGCGCATATTTATTTATAGAAACGATTTATAAACAGAAACAAAGTAGATCGTCTGAAATCGTGAGTCACACATTTCATTATTTGAAACACCGGTCGTTCTCGGATTATGGCAATCGCCTTAAAAATACGCAACGTTTTGAAAAACGTTGAAAAAAGAAGAAGTTGGGCTAATTCATGATCGTTTTTGGCAATAATTAAATTTTATTCAAGTATTTATTGAGATTTTTTGCAGACATTCACTTACACTTTCGTTTTACAACGTTTCCATAACGTTTTTCCAACGTTCATCCAACGTTATGTGCTATTTGAGTGGAGAGTTCTTTAATTATCAAGGAAAGTAAAAAAAAAAAAAAAAAAAAGTATTGTTCCTCATAGGTGAACGTAAAAACTTGAAGAACGATAAATAAATAGTACGTAATTTGATTCATAGAAATTCATTTTATTTTCTTACACTAAGGAGTGAAATCATATAATTTTGTGTTTATAAACAATACGTCATTTCAAGTGAATACGCGCTACAGGTATTTTCGTTCCTTAGTAAATAAAGCTCTCAAGTCGATGAGGATATAAATGGAAAAAAAAAGCACAATGCACCACGAGGATTCCGTGTGTATACTTAGCATTGAAAATTTTCATATAATATCTATATACTCCGTAATAATGACAATAATAGTATAGTTATGCTATGTATGACAAATCCGTATATAATGTGTCCATTAGCTGATTTCTCTTAATATTTAAAACGTCCATGTTTTTGAACTTACAGTTAGCTTATAATATTGGTTAGTTCATATTAATATGCGTATATGCAAACACAGGGACGATATATCTTGGGTTATTGCGTTAAATAATACGTACAATAATCGCATATTATTTGTGTATACACATATTACGTGTAGTACATTAATCAGATTTCTCGCTTAAACTTGTTTCAAATAAATTTGCGCTTAAAAAATTTAGATTTGTGTAACCTTGCAAATATTTTCGGATAAAAGTGTCTAGAAATATTCAAAAGCGAAACAAGTCGGATCTGACGGAATGAGTCGAGCATCATAAGTTACAATCCCCGTACATGTACGAGAGATCTCGCACTTGTCGATTCTACAATTTCCTCGATTTCAACACGTGTCGGTAAGTAAAAATACGTTAAAAATGCCCAACTGCTGTCAAGTTTGTAAGTTCGAGATTTCCACGAGTAAGAGTGCATATTTAATATTATCTTTTTTAGGGGAATTGGATTTTTTTTCCTCACTTATGGATGCCTCGACCTATTTTTTTTTTTTTTTTTACTTTAATAAAATTTAACAACATACTTTTTGTTTTTTTGTTCGCCTCGAATCTGCGTATAAAAAATGACGTCAATTTTTTTCGATTTTTAATTTTTTTTCTAATTTTTCTTCTTAAATATATCGCATGGAAGAGCGAGACAGATGCACAGAAAAGGTTTCATGAGAGACAAAAGTTACATCACACCCTTGACACACACAAAAACGTAACCGAGCTCGTTGCGATTCCTTCCATTCAATATTTGCTTTTTTTTATTTTGAGACGTATACTTAGTTGTTTGCACCGATGGTTCGTGCGGTGGAAAAAAAAAACGAGCACACGAGATTGACCTCGACGCATATAACCAGCGCAAACTGTGTATCTTCCCTCCGTACTATTAATAATTTTAATAGTCTACTAGCTATAGTCGCTCCTCCTCCGAGTAAACTCGTAATACCCATTTTTCAACGCGTATGGCTTAGCGACAACCTTGCCTTCANATACATATATATTCATAATATGACTTACAACTACACGCATTAAAATTAATTTTCCAATAAGCATACAAAAGGCCATTTATATAATTATAATGATGTGATTCGCAAGTGCGGCGTGCAAGATGATACAGGAAGATCAAGCGACTGTACCATGTGAGTGTGTGTATCCTGCATGCGCGAAAATAGACGATAGATTGATTGAATAAAATACATGTACATAGAGTTTTATGTGTTCGATTCATGTACGATTTCACGCACGAATCGATGCTCGATGCAAAATGGTACCTATGCACACCTAATACTTTAGATCTCAGTGTACGAAATCACTGAATAATCGGGATTGTTTAAAGCTCAAAAAATTAAGTATCCCCACGCCTTTGGTTCGTATCATTAATCGAACAAAACGTAAATAATTATTATTGCTGATACTTTTTGTTTGCATGTAACTGTATGCGCGCGTGTGTGTATGTCCTCTCGTTTTTTGAGAAAAATTCTTGAATCGTAACGGTGAGTCAAAAAAGTAAAATGCAAATCGATGATTAGCATAAAAAAATAAAGAAAGACGAGTCAAACAATCAATTGTTTTTACAATTAGTACACGTGAATCTTAATAATAAGTAACAATTTTTTTTTTTTTTTCTATCGAGTCATATACAAATAGTTCACCAAGGCAATGATGATCCTTGGTAGTGACGATCAATACGATATTGGATTTTTAAAGCTACCTACGAATAAACCATTATTGATAATATTATTAATAGCAACATCAGTAATATTAATAATAATAATAATAATTCATTGAAATACTTAAACTGTTAGATGACAGTTGGCAGTGATTTATACCATAATTGCTCAACTAAATAACTCGGGAAATATTTAAAATGCGTAAGTAAAAACCTTCAACTAGAGAAGAAATTCTTCAACCCATCTTGAATATTGCATATAAAACGATGTAAAAAAGAAGAAAATCAATTCCAAATTGAAAGATTATTCAACTAAAGTTGAGTTGTTCGAATCACCAAAATAGTTGGTATTTTTTCTTCTTCTTCATTTTTTGAAAACGTTCTCTTTGGTGTTTAGTTGCAAACTTATCGATATCACTTATACACTTATTACGAGAACATCGCTGTTACGCAACAAATCCAGATGAGACGTACTTTCGAAACCAATTGTTCCCATCCGAAATACATTCACCTCAAGCTTATGGATGAAATAGATGTGCTGTCATACGTTTTATCTTTACTCTTTATGCCACACAATAACGTATATATTATATGCATTTATATAGTATAAGAATGAATAGTACGATTACACAAGTTGAATAATTTATAACAAGATACCACCTTGTCTCCCTTGACCTCGACGCATCACTAGGCACTCAATATGAACCTTCGCAATAATAAAGGTTTTTTTAATAATCTTGATTATATTTTTTTTTTTCGTTTGTTAATCTTTCGTTTGACGTTCTTTTATATCGACTACAAAATATGGTTATTTACAATAATAAAGAGTGTCGTCGTGGGCCAGAACAGAAGCCCATAGAAAACGACGACGGACGAACTTTGAATGTTTGTTTTTCTGCTCTTGTGGTGGGTTCCTTTATCTATATATTTACCTATTTCGCAAATACAAATTCATTTATGAGGTGGAGCTCAATTGAGTTGATGAACAATTTTTATATGTATGGCATACCTAATAGTTAGGAACATTTGATTAACGTACACTTTTCTTTATATATCAGCTTTTTCGATGCTTCCTTTATCATTGCGGAGTTCTTAACTATATTTATATAGCGTTTCACAAAAATCGTTCTAGACTGTATAATATGTTATTAATCGAGTGTAAAATGCTAAATTACCATGTAAGATTATATATAGATTTTGTAGAAGAGAATATAACTAACTGATATGATAATCGCATACAAGAAGTGTTAGAAAAAAATTCATTATTCACTCCTTGAAGTTTTTTTTTGTTTTGTTTTGTTTTTTCGATCAACTCATAACTTAAGGATTTTTTTTAAGTTAATCATAGTGTAAAAAGCATGACTAAAACAAGCTCATAATATCATAGTAGCTATTTTTCGTCAGTTCTGTCGTATTGGGCCAGTGCAAATGCGCAAGAGTAAGAAGTTTTTGTTGACTATAAAACTAAGCACGTTATTCATCTTACGCAAAAATGTTTATCGTGCGATATTCTCTGCTTTTACGAATGCAAGCATTTTGCGAACGCTTGTTTTTTTTTTTTTTTCTTGGTTCTTATTTTATTCTTGTTTTTCAAGTATACTTTTTTTTTCTTTAATACAATTTTCAAGTCAATATCACCGGTTGGATTAGTTTCCAATTATAACTATGGTAAAAATCTATTTACACAACGAAAATTCATTTTTTCTTTTCTTTTCTTTTTTTTTTCTATCACATAAGCAGAAATGGGCAAGTCAGAGTAGCATAAAAATTAACTCCATAACAATCGACTATTATTTTTCAAATTATATGTATATATATATATATATTAGGATGACCCTTGTTATTATTACGATTTCTATTTTTTGTATACCCTTTGAAAACTCTTCGTTACAAAACCCTTATATTTCTTCCATACCTTGAAAACCAAAAAATTTTGGAGTAATGTGTTACCAGAAACAAGATGATTTCCTATTTAAATAAGATTAGATTTTTCAACTGTATTTAATTTTTTGACTATTTTAAAAATTTTAACATAACTTTAAATCTATTTAACTTCATTTATTATTTATACATTGCCTGAAAGTGATACGAAATTTTTTTCAGCCCAAAAAAAGTATGCGAAAAACATGTGATTTTGGTCTTTGTAAGTACCCTTTACAGGAAAAAAAAAAAAAAAAATCTAATTTTTTTTCAAAAATTTCCATTTGAGCTGATAAAAATTGCGTATCATTTTCGAGCAACATGTCATACAGTGTGAGGGTTTAAAAATCCAAGTAAAATTTTTAAAATGGTCAAAAAATTGAAATAAACTGAAAAGTCATCTTGTGTCTGGCGGTACGGATAACCGCAATATGTTTGGATTTTTAGGGTATTGATTTTAGTTGTAAGATGTAACAAAGAGATTTCAAAGAGTATAATATGTTCGAAAAATCGAGATCAGGAAATAATGTGTACCCTGGTATATGTATATATTAAATAAACTTTTCATTTTATGTTTTAATATTAAAGTCACAAAAAGAGCCCGTGTACAAGAGTATAATAAAATTTAAAAAAAATTTTCACATAAAATCAAATTTTTGGAAAATATTACAATAGCATTTATAGTTATTTCTTCAACCTACTTCGATGTACGTTATCTTGTACTAGAGAATTCAGAATTCAAGATAAATCTTTGAAAAAAAAAAACATAAATAAAAAAAATAAATAAATAAAAACAACGATATCTGCCCATCTCTAACGTAATAAAAACTAGTGAAAATTTTCACCCTCAACTAATCATAGCAAAAAAGGTCATTAAAAGTGACTATCTTTCTCTCTAAAGAGAATGCGATTCAGTGAACTTTATCACTTTGACGACAAACGAAATCAAATCGTAGTAAACTCAAAGTAACGCAACAACGAAAACCAAAGAGGAAAGAAATTTAAAAAAAGGTAAAAATCGGATTATTATTAAAATCAGAAGGGTGCGATAACAGCGGCAGCCTCGCCTCTGCTGGTAGGAAGGGGGGCACACTCGGTCCACTTGTAGTTGACCGGATCGTAACTCTCAACAGTTGAAACCGTGATTTGAGTGCGATAGAAGTTTATCTCTTGCAGCTGATCGCCTCCAATCACGTACAAGCGACCGTCGGCTGCTGCCACAGCAGGATAAGAACGTCCGACGTTTAACGGGGATACTGTGCTCCACGTGTTCTAAAATATAAATCAGCTCTAGGATCACTTTGTTCTCTTTTATCATCGTGATAAACCTGCTTACACGTTTTTTGGCACGAACGCGAAATGCTTGTTGGACAAGCTTTTAAAAATAGATATTGACAATTTTTTTTTTTTTTTTTTCTTTCTTTCCTCAACTTTGCTTGACATTCAAATCGCAATTATTCGTGCCTGATTTTGAGTGTTGGATAAGTTAAATTTTTGCTAATGGACGTTAGTTTTTTATGAGTTTTGACTGAGAAATCTTACATTTTTAATGAATGTAGTGCGCCAATTAAAATGCTGTAAAAAAAATGTGATTGAAGTTGTATCGTCAAATTACTTACATAGGTGAAGGAATATCGCTCGACAGAGGGTAACACTTCGTGATTCTTCTTAGTGCCTCCAACAACGTACATAAAACCATCAAGTACAGCCACGCCCATTTGTGAACGGGGAGTCGGCATAGGTGCCAGAGAGTTCCATTCTTTTGTCACCGGATTATAGCTCATTAGGTCCTGGCGATGTCTACTGTCGTGTGTACAGCCGCCAACGATGTATATCAATCCTTGAAAAATAATTTTAAAAATTAAAAAAACAAATCACAAACGTTAAGAAAATCAGACACGAGAATAGCAATTTTATCTCACCGTCGTATGCGACAACGCCCATACTGAATCGCGGGTCAGGCATTTTCCCACTGAGAGTCCAAGTATTTGTAATTGGATCGTAAACCTCGATGGTATCGCCAATGTCCTCGCCAACCCAGCCACCGAATGCATATAAATGATTGTCCAAGGCACATAATCCAAACTCGCATCTGGCCTCTGACATGGGGGCTATTCGCGTCCATACGTTGTCTCGAGGGTCGTAGCACTCACCGTTGGCTATGATACACGACTCGAGCTCGCCACCCACGACGTAAACTTTGCCGTCAAGTAACGCCACTCCCGGCAATATTCGGCCTATTGCTATCGGGGCTACCTCGCTCCAAGTGCTAAAAGACAGTTAATCGGTTATTACGCAATCGTCTGGCTCGTCGAGTAATAAATGGCATACCAAGTATAAATATTCTATAGAGGACTCACTTATTAAAGGTATCGTATTTATTAATGGTGTCATAGGTACTCTCGGCCGGTCTGACCCAGCCGTCAGCAGAATGTTCACGTTTGGAGCCACCAATGACCAGTATGTTTTTCTTAGCTCCAAGGCGGGGCTGCGCACGCAGTGGAACAAGGCATCCTTTATTTGATATCAAGTCTTTTTGGATGGAGGTCAAGGCCACAATAAGACTGCCGTCGTTGCATTCGTAGATTACTCGGTCAAGGCGAGCCATTGAGCACAGTCGTAATCTTATGTGACCGAATATTTCGAAAACGTAGCAACGTCTAGCTGGTATGTCGTGAGTAATCCAGTTGTATGCTGCTTGGAAGACCTAAGGAAATGAATTTTTCATGAGCAATTGCTCTGTAAGGGTGGATATATGTATGTACATAAACTTTATAACTGCCCAGTGTACCTGAAATTCCGTATCGATGTGAATATTTTCACTGCTGATGAACTGAACCAAATGTTCTTTTGGCAGATCTAAAAACTCTTCCTCTTGGGAAATCCTCGTGAAATTGACTTCAATAAAACGTAAGGCAGTCTCGAGAAGATCTACTCTATTGTGAGCTTCTGCAAATCTGTGAAAAAAATAAAAAATTAATCAACCACATGATAAAACTGAAACATTAAATAAGCGCGTTTATTTTAAACAAATGATTGGTTTACCTATAAATTCCAAGGGCATTGGTGTAATGCAGTTGTTCTTGTAAATAAGAAATACAACTAGATACTACTTCACCTAATTCCAGCATATCAGCTGCTGCAAACAGCTCTTGCACATTATCTTGAGTGATATTAACGTTTCCAGTGTAAATGAATTCAACAAGAATGGACAGAATGTTTTCAGATATAGAATGGATTTCTACAAGCTCCTGTTGCTCCTCTACTAATCCACCAGTGAACATGGCATTAAAGTAGGCACTGCTGGCTGCCAAAACAGATCTGTGTGCCCTGATGACTGTGTTCCCAACAACCAAGCCAACATCGCTGAATTGATTTTTAAGTCTCTGAGAGTTTAAATTCATTAAGACCTTGGGGGCATAGTGTCCCACTGCATATAGAGTATTGGAATTATCTGCAGTTTCATTCATTGGTTGCGTTGCAAAACCCATTGTGTTGGAATTGATTTCGCTCTTTAGTGGAGCTACTGTATTATCAGCCATGAAACAACCATCTAGATGTCCTTTGTCTACGGCACCTAAAATATACAAGTATTATAAAATGTGTGAGGTAAAGCTAATGAAAACGTTAAAAATAGGTTTTGAAACTACAAGCCAATATACGAATAGCGTATCTTGATCGAGCAGTGAATTCAAAAACATTTTATTTTTAGAAACCGACAGATTGTAAGGTAAAAATTTATTTCAAAACTATTTTTCAGTAAAAAAAAATGGATCAAAAAAGTTTCGAAATCGAAGTATAGAAATACAGATACTATTGTGGACATTTTTTGCAGTTGTGGCATTAAAAAAAAATGTAGTGTACTTGACCAGATAAAAGTGCAAGTTCTTAACGTTATTGCCAACATTCTTTTGAATTCCTTCATAAATAATGCATAAGGAATTCACTTCAGACATTATCGTACATTAAAATTGATGAAGAAAAAGGGCTCAAGGCTCTCCATTTCAGTAATATAATTATATAATGACGCGTTTAAGCCCGACACTAATATCAAAGTAAGATGAAATAAAAAATTTTATGATCCTGAAGGAATAAAGACAAAGAGCTCTTTGCTCGTCTTTAAATTGTGCTGTTTACAAGCACGCACATTCGAGAAAAAAATTGTCGTCTGGCGATCATCTGTTTCTCCAAATAAACTCACAAAAAAGTATAGAAGTATAATACTTTAGCAAAAAAAAGAGAGAGAGAGAAGGGGGGTGTACTTATGAGTAGAAAGGTAGAAAACGCTGGAATTTCGGAGTCTACAAGAGCAGCGCGTGTAGATGGTTAAAATAACAACAAAATTGTGAGCTAAGAGAAAATGACAGTAGTGTTTATGTGCATGGTTATTCGGTTATTGACTATAAAAACCAAATTTTTTCTGTTGTCATAAGTCACGGGTCTCGGTTGATATAACTGCATATCGTCAAGGGAAAAAAACACAATACAGCCTTCAAGACATATAATGTTGATACATTTAATAACATGAAAGTTATACTCACGACATATGCGCGACAGCACTTTGTAGACACTCGGGAATGATTTGTTGTTGCTTTTGCCCTTAAGACGCATAATTACCACCTCATTTTCCACTTACACGTCGCTTATAAGTTAATAATGATATTTGTCTAGTAACTTTTGTCCCCTGATGACACTACTCTCTGTCTCTCACAATTAAAAGAGTGTGACACCCGCGTCCTTCTGCTCCAAAACTAAACTTGGCAGCTGCAATGCCCACAGGCAGAAACAACTGCTGAGTCGACACCACACGATCAACTGAACGATATGGGCAGCAAATCCACACACATCGCCGTCGTTATTATACTTATATGCTGCTGCTTTTCGCATGGCAAAGTAAGCTTGCAAGCCACAAATCAATTATCTGATTTAGTAGGTTGTATATGTATGCGACCTTACAGTTATAGCCTACAACCTACACTTGCACTTGCACAGTCCCCACACTCCCCACGTCTCTATAGTCTACACACCTACGAGGTACAAGTTGTTATCATTGTTATCAAGCGCCAATGATATTCTCCCTCTCGACTCTTCTCAGTCTTCTCCGATATAACCCCTGAAGATGCGCGTAAAAATTGCGCGACGACTACAGACTACTCTTTCTCTACAGAGAACACTACCGTCAGACAGATACTTACTACTAGGTAATAGGTAGTATAGAGTCTCTTATCAGTAGCTAGTAACTATAGGTACATTAGGTACTATACGTGATAAGTACACCACCACACAAAATAAGTATGTACATATTTATGTATGTACAACATAAAATGTATCGTCTATGCAGTGCACTTGTATGATTTTTGTATAGCAAACCAGACAAGCCCCTCATCTTAAACATTTTCTATGGTTTCGCCAAAGCTTTCACAGAGGTGAATGACCAGCTTTAGAAGTTAATTTGTCTCAGAGCTTTTGAGAAGCCTATATATACTAAGCACAAATCTTGTTACTTAGCTATACAAATTATTATCTCTTTGATTGTTCAGACAAATTTGTCAACTACCAAAATCCTGGATGCACTTTTGTGATGGTTTCGATTTCAATTAGCGCGATTCTTTAAAAAGTAAAAATTTGTCTATATTATATTGACGAATACAGTTTCAATTTATTCGATTTTACAATGCATTACATACTTATTTATAAATTAAATCTTCTGTATTGGTTAATTGGTAATATTTTATTTACACACTACTGCAACATCTCTCACAAAAAGTACTCAAATGCCAACACTCACCTGCCTGCCGCTCATTTATTCGTTCAATCCGTGTAATTACTTAATATTAAATTAGTAGATGATACAACATTTCTCATTTTGTTTGTTAGCTCGACATCCATATTTGGTAAATTGTTTTTTGTACGGCAAACATGCAATGTAATTATTTAATTTTTGACAATGAGTACGTATTAATGTACTTCCATCAGCAGTTTTGATACAAACATTTTATCATAAATACTATTTTAAGTTTGCGTGTGTATAATCGTTTGCTTTATTAACACCCACTGTCTATCAATAAAATTTATACTTTCTCTGTGCGGATTCATATTTAAATTTCGCGGTTTACACATATTAAAGTGTCACTGTGCTTAGGGTTTTAAGGGTTACCATTTACCATACTGAAGTACTATTTTTTCACTAGCAAAAAATTCGTGTTCGTTTCCTAACCTAACCAAACATTTTCTCTCCCTCCTCCTTTCTATATATATGTCTCGACATTCGGGCCTTGTGAGGAAACTGAGGAATTGCTCATTTTTTGCGCAAGATTTGGGCTGCCTCCATTGTCAAAGTACGCGCGTGTGAAAAAACCTTATTAATATAAGTGATTAGTTTTTCCTTTTTATGTCGTCAACAAGATAGAATCGACTTTTGGCCACTTTATTCCTTCTGATTCCCTAGGATGGGACGCAAATTTACTGATAATGTGTACGCTAGACTCCCTACGGTATGTACTGTAATGTATATCCACCTACTTGATTGTTTATTACAGTCATACAGACTAGAATATGGCTGTGTCGAGTATTTTTTTATCTGGAGTCTAATGTTTTTAAAGTTCTTCTCTTATTGGTACGCATTAACTGTAAACATTAATTACGACGTAGTTAAAAGTTTCAAGAATCCGGCTCCAACAAAAATAAATATAACGTGACATGCTTAAGGCGTGGGTTGATTTGTACAAAAAAATATTATTGACATGACAGTGTCAGCATGTCAGCAGTTATTAAATGCAAAGAACAGTAGGTACTCGACTCGTATAGTAAGGAGATTCTTGTTTAATCTGAGCACCTGCACTTTCTGCATGTCATTAACCATATTAGTCTAACACAGGGGTGTGTTCAATATGACAATAAATTTACAAACGTTTCAAATATAATTTCAATTCAGAAAAAAAAATTACAAACTTGAGCATCATTAGTACATGATTGTGATGTATTTGTTTACAGGAGATCGGTGGACACGATGAATTTCTCGATCGGATATCCAAGACACTGTACTACACAAAATTACCAGCTACAGATTGCCTGAGCTTGCCAGTCACAGGTTTGTATGATTTATTCATGAACAAACATTGAGGCAAATGTGCATGTTAGATAATACTTCTTGCTAACGCTCCGTTGCAGAACTTGCTGCTGAAATATTCACTGATGTGAAGCATGGCCCAACGCTGGATCATCTTGATGTCGAGGAGGCCGGCCGAATCTCACGAAACGCCTGTGTCTCACCTTGCTCTCTTGTTATGGCACTAATTTACATCGAAAGGCTTAAGGACTGCAATCCAGAATACCTGCAGAGAGTCGCTCCTTCTGAACTGTTTTTGGTATCTTTGGTGAGTCACTACAGCCTTTTTTGAGAAATCTTTTTGTTAGCCTGTTTGTGTAACGTTTACATCACCATTGCCTAGATGGTTGCCAGCAAATTCTTACACGATGAAGGTGAGGAAGACGACGTCTATAACGCAGAATGGGCAAAATCAGGGGATTTGAGCATTGCAAAGCTTAATAAATTGGAAAGGGAGTTCCTCAAAGCTATAGTAAGAAATCGTCAAATATCGTGTGTATACGTGTATAATTATTGCACAAAATGTTACTTGTTGAATTTTTCATTTATTTATAGAAATGGACAGTCTTTGTGGACCATGAAGATTTTTGGAAAAGACTACAAAGACTGGAAGAGGATCTTGCTATCAGGGAGGCTAGAAAGAGAGGCTGGTTCTCGTACACAGAACTAAATACTTTGCTGGACAGTGCCAATCTGTTGGCACTAGCACAAACAGTACTTGGTGTGTCTTCTATGTGTATTGCTACATATGCAGCAGGCCTAATGACGTTGTTGGGATCGGCAACAGTAGCATCGAGTATACCCAGAACATTTATGAGTTTGGGCCAACAGAGTTTGTCCTCTGGCATATCAGATCATCAATGTACAGCTTTAACTCAGGAAAACTTACAAGTTGAAGAGGAAATTGCAAATATTTTACTTGAATCGAGCCTGGACAAGACTGAAGTATGTAATCAAACCAACACACAGGGTAATGTTTTTGTATGTAATTGTAACGATACAGTGAAGGAAAATGGATGGGGTTGGCTTATTGAAGTAATAACACCTTGGCTTAATAACTTTAATCAGGAATTTAAATGCAAAAGTGATTGGGAAAATAATTTTCACCACGACGACGATTATAGTACTAAAAAAAGCTTTATAAGTGAATCAGATCCATATTTTAGATTTTCTAAAATTGATAAAAGGAAAAAAAAAGTATTACTTCATTCTAGTCTTAACTACTACAAACACGACATGAAGTATTACATTGGATATTTTCCTAAGTATTTAAAGTCATTGACGGTCATGTAAATTTTTCATTTAATTTTACCTGATTGGAGATCAAAGTGTATACATATTAAAAAGACATCAACTTACAATAACGTAACTCAAATATATAAATTTACTTTAATTTTTTTTTTTTTTGTAACAAAATTCTTATTTCTTATACTTTTTACTAAAAACATTAAGTACAACATATTTTTATATACCTTTAATGATTTGAAATTTCATTACTTTGCATAATAATTAAACTATCTCAAATGTTTATAGTTAAAATGTTTACATAGAAATGTCAACTATTCAATAGGAATAATCAACAATCTAACAAAGTTTAAAAACATGTACAATTTAGTAAATTAAGCACCATCCCTATGGGAAAGATATATTTTTTGTACTGACTTCTATTCTGTATTTTTGCTCCCTACAAAAACATTTTTTCAATAAATCCATCAAGAGAAAGTCTACTTTTATTCTCATAGCTATTTTCTTAAATGCCATACTTAAAATATTAATGCCTGTGTTACAGTTAAACTTTTCTAAAACCGCTGCTTAAAAGCTTCTCTATAATATTTACACACGTTTAAAAACAAGTATGAATAGACTTGTGTGATAATCACAATATGGCAAAGCGTTAGCCGACTTGGATCCAGCAAGAGACTAATGCATGTCTAAAAGTCGATTACAAGTAGATTTGTACAAATTATAATTCGATATACATTTACATATATGTACGTGCCTACATTCTAGTTGGACCTCATTTTTTTTCATCTTTTTTAGTCTTGTTATCTTCTTTTTTTTCTTCCACTTCGTCATCTTTTGATTGTTCTTTTGTTTCTTTATGCAAAAATAACAGTGGAGACATTCCCAGCAAGCAGCCTATAGTCACTCCAATTACTCGACCCTAAAAAATCGAAAAATGAAATAGTGATTAAAGTGCACTGTAAATATATTAGCTGTATGAAGCACACATCAACAGGTATTTAACTTGTACCATATTAGCGGCTCTTCTAGATTTTGGCAAATCTAGTTGAATTGGCGTTAGCTTAGGTGGTTGGAATCCTATTCTCTGGGCGAGGAGCTCGACGTAGTAGGCCGATCCGATTCCTAATATATCGGAAATAGTGTTTCCGAATGCCGCAGCAGCCATTGTCGTCAGAGATATAAAAGCACCTAATGTTGCTTCGATAGAGTCACCCTAGAAATTAATTTTTTTTTTTTCCAGAATGTTTTTATTGGTTGTTGAAATATTTTTTTTTTACTCACGGCAATGATCATAATTGAATTATCAAGGAATCCGAATCCAATGAATGGAATGGCATTTGCAACCGATACTGTAATCATCAGAAAGTTTCCAATTAAAATTTTTAGTTAATTTAAATCATATAAATTGTTTCGATCGTACGTGATAGCTTAGACATAATTTTACTTGAAATGAATTTTTTTGTTCATATTTTTTTATATAAAATTTTCAAGTATAAAAATCTGTAGGTATAAAAGGTAATCCATAACTAAAAGCTTTTTTTTTCGTTCAGAATCCCGCGAGTCGAAAAAAATAAAAAAGTCTCTACAAGAAAAGCTATTTGGAATAGAAATTACTTTTGTATAAAATAAATATGTAGACGTTACAAATCACGTGCGAGTGTAAAAATTTAATACTGTCACGATTAAATGTTAATTGATTTTTAGTGAACAAAGGAGTAAATAATTTTATTTTTCTCACCTCTCATCAAATCCCCTTTGGTTGGTTGAGGAACTGTTTCCACTAAAAAATCAAATGCATACAAATTTTATACTCGGTGTTGCATTAGGAATAATAGAATACTTCTTTTTCATAGAAAAGTATAGTAGTATAGTAGTACCCGAGTTTAATGAGCAATTACCGATAGAAAATGCTTGTGCATGCAGAATCGAGAATTATATAAAAAGTTAATCGCGTGCCAATTCCGAATCGTGTACTTAACAAACTTTTTTTGTTTTAAATATTTGACAGACTTACAGAGTTAGTTTGTTTTGTATCCAAGAAATGAGAGCAAAGCAGAGGGGAAAAAGAGAAACAAAGGTTAGTCAAACATTGGCATAGTTTGCTTTTTGAAATTTTTATTGAGTTTCCAGGGAACCAGCGTAGAAGACAATAGCACAGAAATAGATAAAGTTTATTTTTAAAGATGCAGCCTCTTGTGTTTGGTGTAGTGGTGGGGGTGTGGCATTTTAATTTTTTCATTGTGATGTAAAGAATTGACGAAAAACACCGAAAAGTTAAAATTATTGGGCATTCAATCTAATTTTTTAAAGAATAACAACAAATGTAAAATTTATTGATAGACTCAAAAAAAGGTTTTTGTTTGTTAACATGCAAGCTTACATGACTCAGCTTCTGGTAAATCCACTTGAAGCATAAAACACGTTAATATGAGTCATTGAAATCTATCATCATTTTCGTAATGTTATGGATTAAAGAATTAATAATATTAATATTATTATTATTAGGTGAAATTAATTGATTTGCGTATAATGAGTGCAAAAGTGCAAGAAACACCGAAATGAATACACCACTAATCATCATTGTTATAAAAATTTGTTAATAGAAGCTCCTTCTACTGGTCCTGGAAATATATAAATTTCATCTCTCATACCATACTTTTTTAATAGCCAATCATCTGGAACAGCACAGTAACTGCCTGTGGGGTCAACATCCCCTAATGTTGGTACTTTGCTTGGTCTTCCAAATTTACTCCTCCATCTGAATGCAGCGAGCTGACCTAAATAGACGAAAATAAATATGGGCCAAACTCAATTAAAAAAACATAAATTAACTCATTGAAAAAAAAAAAAAAGAAAAAAAAAAGTAACAAACAAGTAAAATAAAGCTAATAAAAGGGCTACAGGACTGCTATTGAGACTCGGGGAAAATAATGGATATTAGAAAATTAAATGACAAAATGTCTTTAAAAAATCTGAGTAAACTACCTCTTTGATAAATAGTAGAAAAATCTGCACTTCTGTTTACAGCACAATTAATGAGGATCGACAAGCCGATGTGGTCTCTCAATGTTTAGTAGAGACTCTTCAGTATTACAGATAACTATGTGCATTTCGAGCTCGTACACAGAGTCTTTATATTCTATACCAAAAATTATACATGAAATCTCTACACATGTATGAGACAATCATCATTGGATAAGAAATAAGCTAGATTATTTTATTTTTTTTTTTTTTTTTTCTATGATTGTACGTTAATTATTATTCATTCAATTGTTTAGAGCCCTATGCTCATCTACTTAACAAAGATTAGCATTCGACATTAGCAAAAGGTGTACAGTAATTTGTTCTAAAAATTGTGCGTAATAAGAGTGATTAAAGAGAACGAGTGCTAAAAATAGGAGTATCGTAATAAAAAACACTCCCACTATATTAATATTTATAAGAAAAAAAGAATCAAATCAGTGCCAGAAATGGGAAAAAAAATTACAGATAAAAAATTTCGGAGCTATATTCATAACAGGCATACAGCATAATAATATACAGGTGTCATCGATGTGATAGCTCATTTATATTATATCATCGTACGGTCACCCACTCAAAAAAAATATATACCACCATCAGCTGTACGAGGCTTCTGCTATAGTGTGAGCATAAGCCCAACGGCATTGCATCATTACCTTCGTACTCAGCCTTGATTTTCTGAAACTGACACTCCTGGAGGGCAGCTATGAGAACTTGTCGCTCGTCAGGGGTGAGCCTGACCGCCAGTTCCTTGGCCTGTTTTTTGGTGAGCACTCCAGGAATCGCGCCAGACGTGACAGCTGCCGAGGCACTACCCATAGCTCTCTTCTGACAATGATCGCCCGAGTTGTTATCGTTTATTTGATTGTTGTAGGAGCCCTGGCGAAGAACACACTTTTCGGTGGTCATTGAACTCCAAAATGCTCGTGCTTTGCAGCTGCAGCCTCTGAGGAACATCATGTTGCTTCTGCTACTGTGATCGGCGAGTCTACTCCTTGTCACTCGACACAATACGGTGGACATCGGAATGCACATTTTTCTTTAATTTTATTTTGATTGATTGCCCTTTACTTATAAATTTTATCGAAAGTACGCCTCGTACGTTTTACTGTATATATTATTACACACGAGCACCAAAGGTACACTTATGGGCTGTCATAAAAAAAAACACTGTTACTTATATGTATATTATTGCACAACTCTAGGCTCTCCACAAGTAAGTACTTATACAATGTGAAGAAAGTCAAAGCTCGTCCGAGGATGGAATCGTATATGGATCGTTACTGGTGTTTTATATAATTATTGCTGTTGTAACAAGCGATGATGGCATCGATGACAGCATATAGGCGCGCTCTGCACTCACTAAATTGTCCGTCACACGCGTTTGTTTTGAATAAAGTATAATTATAAACTTTGTGTCAGTATATGTGCTTATCGTAAAACCTGTTCGTCGACGAGTCGATGACGAACGGTTGAACGTGAGCTGAGCCTTATTTCTGTCCCGATGTGCTTGGGGCAAGGGTACGTGCCTTACTGGGGTTTTTGGTTTGGGGTGAGCGCCGTAAGTGGATATAACTGGCAAGTGTACAGAGGCTGAATATCTCTCTCTACACCACCTCCTCTCCATACCATCGAATTTTTTTCACCCGATAACGCAAAAACGTGTGCGTGACGCACGTCGTTGACGTCACTCGCGCGTGGAAGTCCCCATGGAGAGAGGAATTGTTTATGCAGGAAAATCACATTACTCAGCGGCCGTCCCTTAGAAAGTTCAACTTTATTACTTTTTTACTTTTCCTCATCGGATAACGACTGGTGTGTCGAAACTTGCGAAAGAATTGAAATGTTTCAGCTTGGGCATACAATAACTTATATTTCGATCGAATGTCGAATATTGCGGTCCCGGCGCGCAACATCAAGTTCTTTATAAAATATAAGCAAAAACAAATCCTGTCTTGTCCCTGAAATTCGGGAAGCTAGAAGCGCAAAATTTTATTATTAATCCGCGTATCAAGAATTTTTATTTGGATTGCAGCTCACATACGTATTTTTAATGTTAAACTTGTTTTGCGATGTGTCGAATTCAACGTATACAACATATTTTTATTGTCAATTGTTAGTAATAGCGTAAAAATTGACATTATTATCATCGGGAAAATGGGGAATCCCCTGAACCTGAGCACCCTCGTGGTGGTAAGCAAAACTCCTACATTATCGGCGTTAATTTAAAAATTTTTATAGAACGCGCGATATGTACCTACTTATATATAATTGTATTCAAAGTCAAGGGTGGTACACATTCTTAATAAATTAAAATCATACCCTGTTCTCTGTATTGTATAGGGGTACAGCTGTTGGAAGTCATGGAGGCATGTACGATAAATATTAATTGTGTCAACTATTTTAGATGTAATATATCATAGGTCCATGTGATATGACATCATCGCAATGTGGTATTTATTGATCATCGCTTCCCGTTACGGTGTCAATGGTGTGTCATTCCCTTAAGTTTATATACCTATCATACATCAAACGCTTTTTTAAGCGCCCGCACTTTCTTTTTTTTTACTTTACCTATTCTTTTTCTGTTTTGCTCTTTTTTTGAATGATGAAAGAGAGTACCTGTCTTAAAAGCGTGTTACCTGTTCCCCGTTTTATTTTAGATAATGTAAGAGCGAATGAACATTTGGTATAAAGCGTAAGTAAAATTCTTCGTTTTTGACACATAGATCTTGTATGAAAAAAAAAAACTGACCTTTTTGAACTACAAGTAAGTAAAAAATTCCAACTTGGAGTAAGATGTGAAGCCAACAAATTGGGAGTGCATCCAAGCACATGGAAAAAGATAATATATGCACATAATTTTATCATCACTTGGTGGACCTTTAAATTAATGTTTACTCAATACTCCGTATAGCAAACAGATGATTATTATTAATATATAAACGCATGGTCTGGGGAGTTGTGTAAATCTACTGATAATAAATATTTTTTAAAAAATCAATTGATGAACAGAGAGCTAGAGTTATGTGACCACCTCGGCTGTTACCAATGTTTAGCGAGACGAGGAAAAACACAAGTAATTAGACCGGCCGTTACACATTATTGATTTTTACGTCCCTCTCTGACAAGGGTATACAATTACGGTTACGAATCGCCCAACGTCTCAAATTAAAATAGGTTCTCGCAGCAGGGCATGGGAACATCGGAAGTCATACAGCTGCAACATCAAAGTAGGTGTGTACTTATATGTTTAACAAAAGGTACAGCTTTCGCGAGGAGTTTCAACTCAACCTCCGAAAAAGAATACTTAGTACTTATACCTGACATGCAGACTGGTAGCATTTCGCGTAAAAAGAGCGCGACGTACTACGATTCTACGATGCCGTTCGTATAAGGATGGTATACCTATATATACCTACCATTATATTAGGCAAGTGCAGGCTGTGCACTGTGCAGGGGCTGTATTCAACTACAGTCAGGTATAGGTATATAGGTGTAATGGTTAGTGGTTGGAACGTTGGAAATTGGAAGGGGTCGAGGGAGAAAAGACACACTTGTCTGTCTCGTATAATTTACCCACGTAATAATAAATTAAAGTATACAAACAGTATTGTGATATCGGTGTATGCATGTGCAATACACAGTAACAGTGAAAGTGGCGAAATACATTTTTTTTTTCCCCATAAAATGTTGCTGTACTGCAATTCTGTGTGCAGTATCCTCGATTAATCCACAGCTGGACCGTTTAACCTCCAAAAGGATCCAATCTCTTTTCCCGTGAACCGCGCTCCGATGCCGTTGCTGCATTGCTCCTTTTGAGTTTCTGACCCTCTTTTCTTGTTTTATTTTATTTTTTTAAATTTGTGCACGAATTCACGGAAGAGAGAAGAAGAGAGAAAACGTACGCGCGAGAACTGAAGATACTTTACTTCTTCACTTCTGTTACCTACGTGACGAGATGAGAAAAGAGAGAAAATAAAGCTATCTTTTCGCTCTTCTTACGTGCAGTGTACATTCGAGCAGCGGAGCAGGTACTGCGGGCGCTCCACGCCCACCACCTTCAAGGCTATTATCTATACGTCGACAGGGGGCCCTTCTTTATTTTGTTTATACTTACACTCTTCCGGGATATGGAGGGGGCTTTATCCCAAAAATTATCCAACGACCGGGTGATGCATACGCAAGACGGGCGAGACAATAACTAAGTATAGCTCATCCATCCATCTCCGAGAGCTGCGGCTGCTTCTTATACATATTGTTGCTTTTGACTTCGATGAGATGTTGCATGTATTGTCATTATTGTTGTTGTTCATTCAAATCTAGTGTTGTACATAAAAAAAAAAAAAAATGAAAGAGAGTTCGAATATGTAACAACAATCCCTGCCACTAGAGCTTCAACGGCTAAATGGCCAATTGTTGTCAATTGATTTTAATTGCAATTAATTGCTGAAAGAAATTCGTCGCTCCTCAGAAGCACAGTGTCGTTGGCTCAGTTTGGTTTGTTGACTCAAGAAAGAAAGGGAGTGTGTATTTACAGAGGCTACCGTGTTGTTGTGTCACTGAATTATCGGTGTTGCGTGTTGCGCTTGAGGATACCTGGGCGCTACACCCTGACCTCTGACCTTCATTACTTGTTCTGCTACTGCGACAAACCATGAACGTAAGTACTCTACAGACATTTACTTCCCCAATTATCCAATTTTCTCTTTTTTTTATACACTTATATATTTTTTTTTCTATTTGTCCTTTATATTTATATTTAGTACGATTGAGCAACTCCTGACCCCTATAATGTAAAATAAACACATTATTTCTCAATTTCTTTATCTTAGATATTGCTGAAAAATTACAATAGGCTCTATTGAGTGAATTTGTCTGTATGTTATTTATATTTGACTTTTTTTTTATTGGAAACTACCCTGAAACCAAAATTATTTATATCAAAGAATCCAAGTATCTAATCTATTGTAAAAATCACCTCTAAAACTTTGTGAGCTACCCAATCTATTTTTAGACTCAGAAAGGGAATTAATTTAAGAGTTAGGATAATTCGGGATCTTAGCTCTGAATTCAAACACGATGAGCATCTAGTTGCTCTTTTATGACACGTCACTGAGAATTTTTCTCTCCATATTGCCAAAACTATTTTAAGAATCTCTCTGCTCCATATTGGTGAATAGTTGCTGACTGGGATTATATAACAAGGATCACTGACCTCTGCAGGCCAATTAAATCAAGACTATGACATCTATGGAATGTAATTAAAAATGATGAGAAATAAAAAGTACTTTTGTTCCTGCTTGATATTTTAAAATGCTTACTGATGGTTTTCTGAATCGTGAAATTTTCTGATTAATCAACTTGTGCAATATAAAACATGTGGCACTATGCTAATTTTAGAACGCTGCCTTGCTCACAAATTGCTTAAAGATAATACCCTCTGTACCTAAATATAGCGTGTCATTCGAATCATTTTTCTCATCTGGAAATAAAATACATATTGCCCACTAAGAACAATAATTCACCTTATTGTTGAGTCATCTGATACAATATGACATAGAATAATTTAATTACTCACATAGGACATTTCCTTTAAAAGTTAGATTTTAAAATTTTAACCGAAAACGTAACGAAAAAAATTTGTTCGTGTGATTGTATTACGTATTTATTTACTAATTTAAATAGCACTCAAAAGTATGTCAAGTGTATATCTCAATAAAATATTTTAATGAATTCATTGATATCACTAAATAATGAAATAACGCAAGGTAAGAATAAGATATTTTACGATGACAATTGTTTTTTAACGAGTCTAAGATAATTCTGTTCAAAGCACTATGAGTAATTATTATTTAATGAAAACTTTGTTGGTCAAGCAAAGTAAGCTCGATTTTTAAAGCATTATATCTACAGTTGGTAGATTCATATCTTTATTGTAATTTATCTTAATCTAACTTCATGGAGAATATTCCGATTACGATTAACTAATTAGACAAAACATTGATGTTTTGAAGCTTAGTGTAATAAAAACAAACCAATGAGAAAATGATAGAAAAAATTTCTCGTTGTGTTCAAAAGCAGAGATAATTGGCGAAATCGTAGAACACGTGACATTAAAATATCGTGAATATTACCATAAAACGATCCCACTTTGCTAGCTTGATACTTTCTTACCTGTTTGACAAACATTAATCTCTATCCCTGATAGCGTTATCTCACATTGATAACAAAATTTTACTTTGAAACCTCATGCTTTTTGCGCAAAATGCAAATAAAAATTGATATAGATTGTAATGGAAATAACAAATGTATCGTTGATGGCTTAAAAACTAAGTAGTTAACACGCAGTTGCAAACTACATAAAAGTAGTAGTGTAAAACAGTTTTCTTTTTATTGTCATCATTCATTACGTGCATCGCAATGATTACACTGAGAAAAATCGGCAAACAATAGCACTTTAGCAAAGAATTTATGTATTTACTTGTTGTTTTTTATAAACATATAACAAAGACACCCACACTGGAATTATAGTTTATTTTTTTCAACTTGAAGAGCAATGTTTTCAAGATTATTCTCCGTGTAATGAGAAAAAAGTCAAAAAATGATACAAAGAAATATGTTACAATATTTTTTTTTTTCCAACTGACAGCCACTATTTACGCAGGTAATCAAAGCAGCAGTGAGGTGGTGCCGCGAAGGTGGTTAACACGCCTTCGGTTGCTTGAGATGATCGAAAGTGTTTCCCGTCGAGGGCTGAGTGGCTCCAGTGGGAGCTACCACGTTCGTGGCGCAGAACTGGCGCGCGACCGGAAACTCAAGACCCTTTCTGCCACTGTCGTCTTTTTAGACGATACGCAGCAAACGTTTCAGCTTGACGTGAGAACTTTTTTTTTTTTTTTTTTTTTTTTCATAATTTTGTCGCTAAAAAAATATGCAAATGATGTGATTGCTTACAGAAAAGGGCGAAAGGGCAAGCACTTTTGGATTTAATATTCCAACACCTCGAACTTGTGGAAAAAGATTATTTTTCCTTACAGTATGCGGAAAATGGATCTGCCTCGACGACCGATTCCGATACAATGGTAATAATGTATTGTGATGATGTTATAAAAATCAAAGAATTTTCCGAGTGATTGATGTATTAAAATTTTTTTTATCAATTTTTCAACAGAAATGGTTGGACCCTACAAAATTAGTCAAGAAACAGTTGAGGAGCAAAGGTGGTCAGTTTTTTTTTCGAGTAAAATTTTACGTATCGGATCCTAGCAAATTACAAGAGGAATACACCAGATATCAGTTTTATCTGCAAATACGAAAAGATATTTTGAACGGAAAACTTCAGTTACCTCACAATAACGCTTGTATTCTTGCAAGTTACACCGTTCAGTGTAAGAATGATTTCACTTGAAAAAATTGCCTTCAAAATATTTTATGAGTATTTTAGAAATTGAATCTAATATTTGTATTATCCATTTGTTTGTATACAGCCGAACTCGGCGATTATCAACCAGAGGAACACGGTCTGGGATACTTTTCAAGGCTACAATTGATTCCGAATATCACAGAAGAGATGGAGCAAAAAATTTGCGAGCTTCACAAGCTACACAAGTAATAATTATTCCTCTCCCTTATTTTTTTTATTTATTTATCTTTTTTTTTTTCGTCATCTATCAATTCGATAATAATTATTTACAGTTGACTGCAATAATTAAATTTGTTGTTTTTTAGAGGTCAATTACCAGCTGATGCTGAATTTCACTTTCTTGATCATGCCAAACGTCTCGATATGTACGGAGTGGAGTTACATAAGGCAAGGGTATGACTTTTTGTACTTGTTGTCATTGTTTGATTTACATTTTCACCTATGAGTCACACGCATGTAGCGCGTTTGCTTACATTATTTACCTTGCTCCGCTCGCGCACGCTTCCTTGTCGTATATATTCATTTGTTAGTCGTCGATAGTGATTAAAATATAATTTCCATATTTTTTTTCAGGATTCGGCAAATAAAGAAATTCAATTGGGAGTAACGTCAATAGGACTAGTGGTATTCCACAACAATATTAGGATAAACGTGTTCTCGTGGTCAAAGATTGTCAAGATCTCATTCAAACGTAAACAATTTTTCATACAGCTGAGGAGAGAACAGGTAACGCTCGTCATCAATTTTTATCAACAGCCGGATCAAATAGAAAATACATCTCATTAAAACATTATCCCGATTTGTAGTCGGAAAATTACGATACTTTGCTAGGTTTCAACATGACGTCATATCGCAGTTCGAAAAACTTATGGAAATCTTGCGTGGAACATCACACCTTCTTCAGATTACATAGTCCAAAAATGCGGCCGCGTCGCTTTCAGCTTGGACTCAGCAGCCGATTTACGTACTCGGGTCGCACAGAGTTTCAAACTGTCGAAGATGGAAAGCATCGAGCACGCGTCGAGAGGACTTTCATCAGGTATAATAGTACTACTCGATATTTTTTGCTAAACCGTTTTTTTTTTTTTTTTGTAAAAAATCAAAACTCGCATGAATTTTAGATCACCTAGTAAAAAACTCATTCACGGTATCTTGCCTATATCCGATGAAAAGGGCAAAGTATCAAGTTCCAGCAGGTCAGCCAGGTCACATGATAACAAAGTACAATCACTTGGTTCACGAGAACCGCGTGAAGCGTGGGGGGAAGGAAATCATAGCGATGAGTAAGTTTCTCAACTGATTCATTTTGTTTGTAATCACAGTATCGCGTTGGGAAAATGTTCATACTCTTATTGATCTACAGCGAAGGAGGTTTTCTATCAGTCAGAGAAGAAGTGTCGGGGACACACGCTACGCAAAATAGTGGCGGTGCTTTTTCGCCGATGCTGGGTTCCAGGGTATTGAGTTACGTAGACGACGATACGGCAACACTCGATAGGAACATTTACGATATTCCAGATTACGACGAACGTACCGGAACCTCGGCACCACAAGTACGTTAATTATTATTTTTTTTAATTTAGAGACTTTAATTTTTTAATTTTTACCCTCCAAACAACAGGCACTGGAAGAAGGTTTGGTAATCATAAGAATCACACCGGATGAGCAGGGTCGCTTTGGATTCAACGTAAAAGGAGGTTTAGACCTCGACATGCCAATATTAGTATCACGGGTAGCACCAAATACACCAGCCGATCGTTGTTATCCAAAATTGAATGAGGGAGATCAAGTAGTTTACATAAATGGTTTGGACGTAAACGGAATGCTTCATGAACATGTCGTTAATTTGATACGGCAGTCGAGAGATTCCGGCATTGGTGAACTCACATTGACCGTGAGACCGAATGCCCTATACAATGCATTGATAGGTTCGGAAGAACCGTTGGAAGAGGAGCCACCATATAGGTAACGTGCACCACTGTATTTATAAAACTATTTTGAAATGCACAATTTTGCGGGCAATATATCTCTTGATTTATATGTTTGCAGATACGTGCCAGACTCCCCACATGTCGCTATTGGTTCGGATGCACTAACGCAGTCGATGTTACTACTCGCAGACGGTTTGGCCAGCGGAGCTCTGATCACTCAGTATGAACAGCTGTACAGAAAAAATCCCGATTTATTTTCCATGGAGTCGAAAAAACCAGAAAATCAAAATAAAAACCGTTATAAAGATATATCACCATGTGTGTATTTAAAGTTTTGATATTACTTTGACTTTTTTAATAAATTGCAATATTTATAAATATTTTATATTGTTATAGATGACGTAACGAGGGTAGTACTGATGGGTTCCGGAAGCAGTGATTACATAAACGCAAACTATGTAAACATGGAAATTCCAGGCTCTGGCATCATAAACCACTACATCGCTACGCAGGGTCCACTATCGACCACGGTTTCAGATTTCTGGCAAATGGTATTGGAAGCCGGCAGTACACTTGTAGTTATGCTGACGACATTGGTTGAACGAGGTCGTCCCAAATGCCATCAGTACTGGCCGTCACTGAAGGAAACGCTCGCGCTAAGGAATTTATCATTGACGTGCACTTCCGAGACTGTCGAGGAAACATTTGTCTTTCGGGAGTTTGTTCTTACTGATACCAACGTAAGTGATAACAAACCCTTGAAACTTATTTAATTTACAAACAATTAGCTTTGTTTATACGACAAGCGTAACAGTGATTCGAGAATAGCGATCTTGAGCACCAGCCTCAAGCCTTGAACATTATATAAGTCAGGCATGTGCGCTTGTTCTTCTTGCAAAATCAAACATTTAATTGCGTATTAAGTCATTGAAGCTGGAAAATTTCTCGTGACAATGATTTATGCTGGTTAAACTTTCTAAAAATTCTGAGAATGTAACAACAGGTATTTATTTGATTTGCTAACAGACGGGAGAAGAGCGGGATATAACGCACATGCAGTATTGCGCCTGGCCTGATCACGGTGTACCGAATGATTGGCGCCAGTTCACTACGTTCACCGAACGAGTGCGGGCAGCACGTGCAGGTATTGTGGAGCCTGCTGTCGTGCACTGTTCCGCGGGTATTGGACGCACCGGTGTACTAGTACTCATGGAAACTGCGTTATGCCTTATAGAGGCTAATCAGCCTGTTTATCCGTTGGATATTGTCCGCTCAATGAGGGATCAGCGAGCAATGATGATACAAAATGCTGTAAGCATTAAAATAAATCAATTGAATAGAAAAAATAAATACAATAATAATAATGAGATAATTTTAATTACAGAGTCAATACAAATTTGTCTGTGAATCAGTTCATAAAGCCTACACCGAGGGCATAGTCACGCCCCTTCCTGAATTCAACAGATGAGATTGATCATATTAACTGTACAACCTTACACATCAGCATCATGCCACAACTATCATTCATCTTCTTCAATGAACCGAGAGAAGAAAACCTTACTCATTAATAGAGCAGCTCCATAATGTAGATTGTTCACCTCCCGACAATAATATTTATTACATCTGGTAGAAATATAACATATGTTTATCATATTTATTATAAAAGATTCTAGAATTTTAGATATTGCGAGTAGCCTTAGATAAATGAATGTCTTAAACGCGTGATATATTGTTAAAAGAGACCCTTAAGTATGATATAGCGAGAAGAGTAAAAACTGAAATATTGATTACTGATTAATTAATTTAAATCATAGTTAGATTTTTAATATACGTAGTCTGTTAATAATCAAGTCCTTTAACATTAAATGTAAAAAATATATTATCACACACTTAGTTCATAAGAGTGATAATATTTTTTTTCCATAAGTCATGCGACATTTTTATCTTTTAGAAGATAAAGGAGAAAATTAGATTATGTTTTTGACCAGATCTCTTGGCTGTAAGTGTCATATATGTAATGCGTGATAAGAACAAAAAGTTGTATATAAGAGGATATGGTATTTTCGTAAAAATTTATTCGAGTTGGATCGTGTAAACATATAACGCCCACTGCCAATTCCAATTATCATTCTGCATCCAGTAGAAAAAAGTAATCAACTAAAGTTGATTCCTCGAGGCAGCCGAGGCAATATTAATTATGTAGTATAGTACCCTATGCGTGATTTAACATAGCATTTATTAATTGATTCAAAAATTAATTTTTACAGCAGGAATCGTTGTTGTCCCAAGTCAATTTTTACAAGTATTCAACATTAATTATTTTATTTAATGTTTAGGTATTCAGTTAATTAAATAGCCAATTTGATCAAGTGGCTACATGAAATACTGATTTTTTAGAAATTGTACTAATTTTTTTCGTGATTGCATGCATAAACGAAATTATATTTTTATAAAGATCATTTAATTTCTAAACATATTATTCTGCATGTCGTCAAAAATTCTAGTTATTCGAATTTTAAACTTTACCATTTTGATACACCGCATGTCGATCATATTAATTTATTCAAGTAAAATGTTGCTGGTGATAGAGGCAGGAATTTCTCAATAAAACACAGCTTACTATTGATAAAGTGACTGTTAGGTGTGTTTTATTTATATTTTTTTCTCTCTACTTATTTGTTAATTTATTTAATTATATGCTACACGGAGATAACTCCATTTACAAATACAAAATATTTATAAAATAAAATTGACAAAAATAACAAGTATAATTATTTTAGTCTAAAAACGTTATAGATAAAAAAATCAAAATTTAAAAACGTCCCAGCTTGGTTACGATTTACTTATTATAAATCGCACTCTGTGAAAATGTATATTTTTATACTATAATTGCATTCAAGGCCTATTATTAATTTAAGTTACAGACAAGCGTGTATATATTATATAGCCAATGGATAAAATATAAATAAATTCTTTTTTTTTAAACGTACGTTCACCTGTACGTTTTTCAGTCGTCACTGTTTGAAATAAATTAATTGCCATAATACGTGGTTTACAGCTTAAAACAAATACCGATTGAGAAAATTCTATCCATATTTTTTACAGGGCAAATAAGTGACAAAATAGACCATCGAACGCCTTCTATTTTTTCGAATGTAACTATAGCAGTGTATTTTAGGTAGTTGTAGATGAACTGATATTCAACTGATATTAGAATGCAAAATTATAAAAATGTAATAAAAATAAAGTTGGTAGCTGTCTAGTCTTGTACTTCAAATTGTCAAACAATAAAAAATTTTCATAAATATCATTACTATTGTTGTATTACTTTTATTTTATACTCAGTACCAGTAATACGATATTCATTACACAGCTATATTTGAGAAGTTAATCATATGCGTAGGTATTTGAAATCATTACAGTGTCAAATTACAATAAAACTCGTGTTGACTGATAAATAGTACTGCAATCAAAATTTTAAATATTTTAAGAACTATTTAGATTTAAAATTTAAATTTTGCGCCACCAGCCTCTGTCGATAACTGTACATACACACACACACACATTTTGTTTTGTTTATTTAAAAACGAATTAGAAAAATTCAAAATCGCATGCACTAGAAAGCAGCATTATTTATTATTACTGTGCAAAATTTGGACTTACGTGAATGAACTTGGAAAATTTCTGCTCTGATTTTGTTTAGTTTCTAAACTTTCGAAACGTACCCAGAATGTCACTAGGTCGCCTCCCTCTCTCTTAACATGTCATTTACGCCTCCGGGTTTTCCGGGTAATGTCGACTGTCGACAATGACCAGAGATTAGGCGGTGATAATCTAATTAAGTAGATGTGTGTTTGTGCAAAATATTTTTATTTTTTTTTTTAATCTCTCGAACTTGGCCACGGGAGGGTCGAAAGAGAGGCTGCTGCTGCCAGTGCTGACATGGCTCTGCGGAAGGTAAAGGGTAATTTCGAGCGTATGTTCGACAAGAATCTCACGGACCTCGTCCGCGGGATCAGGAACAACAAGGAGAACGAGGTAATTGAGAGCTAAAATTTATTGAAAAATTATTTTTTACTCTGACCTTTCATACATTTCATTTATTTAAAGTATTGTAACTGTAGTTGTTTTGTAAGAGGTTAAACGCGTTGTGATTTTTAAAATTTATGTAATTTTTTTTCTCCTTGACGAATTCTTGATATGTACAGTCCGCTAAACTTGTGACAAAGTAATTGAAATATGCAAAATAAAAATGAAAAGATATATTTCTTAATTTTGGAAAATCATCTTCCAAAATTTACTATTTTGACAATTTTATGACTGATCTGGTAATTACTTAATGATGACAGTTCACTCATTTGTATAACTTTTGGAATACTTAGGTGTTTTCTTTAAATTTTTACTCCTGACTCTAATTTTGAAGTATTAAAGTCATACTTTGTATTGAATAAAATATTGAAAAAATAGAACAAATTTTCTTAATAAGTAGTACTTTCAACTGAAATTTTTATTCTGCAATACTTTTTTTCAGGCAAAATATATAGCTCAATGTATGGAGGAAATAAAATTAGAACTCAGACAAGATAATATAGCAGTTAAAGCGAATGCCGTTGCCAAACTTACATACGTATGTATTGAAAATTGCTTTTATTTAATGCATAGTCAGTAATTATTATCTTTCTTTTTTCAATACTCAGCTGCAAATGCTTGGCTACGATATTAGCTGGGCAGGTTTTAACATCATTGAAGTCATGTCTTCTTCCAAATTTACATTTAAGAGAATTGGGTACTTAGCTGCTAGTCAAAGTTTTCATATGGAGTCTGAGGTATGGCCTAATTTTTTTACAAAACAATTTCCTTATAATCTGACATGTTTACATTCTATTTACATGATTATGTATTTTCAGTTGTTAATGCTGACAACCAATATGATTCGTAAGGACTTGAATAGCTCCAATCAGTACGATGCTGGATTAGCTTTAAGTGGATTGTCATGTTTTGTAAACCAAGACTTAGCTAGGGACTTAGTTAATGATATAATGACTTTATTGACATCAACAAAGCCTTATTTAAGAAAAAAGGCAGTTTTAATGATGTACAAAGTGTTCCTTCGATTTCCTGAGGCGCTAAGGCCAGCATTTCCCAGACTGAAAGAAAGACTGGAAGATCCTGACAGCGGTGTTCAATCAGCTGCGGTTAATGTTGTTTGTGAATTAGCTAGGAAAAATCCAAAAAATTATCTGAGTTTAGCGCCTGTATTTTTTAAGTTGATGACAACTTCCACAAACAATTGGATGCTCATCAAAATCATCAAATTGGTAAGAATCGCTTTTAAAATTCAAATATTATAATTTGTTTTATAGACCAATTAATTATTTCATTTGAAATATTTTTATCAATTTTTTAAAATTAACTTGAAGCGTGGTTTTCATTGTATCAAAGTAGAGATAACTTTATTGCTTCTTTTAATCACATATTAAGTAACAATTGGGTTTAAGTTGATTTTTAATATGTATTTTACACATGTAATAATGGTCCATCAATTTTATTTTACAATTCTACTGTTAAAAATAAGCTGAGCAAAGTGTTTTCTCTTGTTTGCGTGCTTAGTTTTCAACGATAACGCTGATTGAGCCAAAAATGGGCCGACGGTTGACGCAGCCTCTAATTGACCTGATATCAAGGTTTTGGCACTAATTGATTTAATTTATATAAGAGTAGTGCCATTTTTTTTATTCACGTAAATTTTTTGTATGAAAGCTTTTTTTTAGAGATTGCAATTACTTTTTACCATCCACGTTCGAACAAAACATTATTTGTGCATAAGTGTACCACAAATGCTAGTTTTCGCAGAAACCATTTTTTTTTATACTTACAGTTTGGCGCATTGACACCTCTAGAACCTAGGCTTGGCAAGAAATTGATAGAACCGCTAACGAATTTAATACACAGGTACTTTGAATATACATTAGATTCTGCTGCTTTTTCATTTACATTATTTCTTTCTAAAATTTAATTTTGCATTAGTTTCGTGAAGTGTCAACACTTATCAGTGCCAATAGGCGTTACTTTTTTGCTTTGTTAGTCTTTCATACGCAATAGATTTTTTGTATGAAACTTTTAGAAAAACAATTTGTTAGTTATCAAATAGTCTAATTATAGAATTAAGTTTATCGAGAATTAGGATAATCTTTTTTGGCTTTGATTCAAAATTCTTAGCACCGAAATTTTTTTAGCTTGGTTTCATTTTTTCTCTCCAAAAGTTAGATGTTTCAAAGTACTGCTTATAACTTTTATTACAATTTATAATTTTTAGCACTTCTGCTATGTCATTACTGTATGAATGCATTAATACAGTCATAGCTGTATTAATATCCATATCTTCGGGAATGCCAAATCACTCTGATTCGATTCAGCTGTGTGTACAAAAGTTAAGGATACTCATAGAAGATTCAGACCAGAATCTAAAGTACTTGGGGCTATTGGCTATGTCAAAAATCCTTAAAACTCATCCAAAAAGTGTGCAGGCGCACAAAGATCTGATAATGCAGTGCTTAGACGACAAAGATGAAAGTATAAGGTTGCGAGCTCTAGATTTATTGTACGGCATGGTTTCCAAGAAAAATTTGATGGAAATTGTACGAAAATTAATGGTGCATATGGAAAAAGCTGAAGGTACAATGTACAGAGATGAACTGCTGTCCAAAATCATTCAGATATGCTCGCAAAACAATTACCAATTCATTACCTACTTTGAATGGTAATGATTGAAAAGCCACTTTAAAAGTGAAGGGATTTATTGTTCTTCGCTCAAATTTTTTTTTTTTTAAACAGGTATATATCTGTACTTGTTGACCTGACTCGCATGGAAGGAACTAAGCACGGTAAGCTGATAGCGATGCAATTGTTGGACGTGGCCATACGCGTGCAAGCTATTAGAAAACATGCCACTCAACAGTGTGCGTTATTACTCGAAAATGCGGGTCTGCTTGCGGGTCAACCAAGAGCTACCATGTCCGAGGTGCTATATGCCGCTGCGTGGATTTGTGGTGAATTTTCTAGGTTTGTTTTACACTTGAATTTTCTTATTCATACAGTACTAGAAACTAATTTTCGTAACGAGTATTGAGCTTTTTAAAACAATGTCGTCTTAGTTCTGAATTTTTCAAATCAAAACCTCTATTTGTGGTCATGGAACTGTATTATTTCCAGTGAGTTGTACGATCCACTGGTTACTTTAGATTCGATGCTCAAACCTCAAGCATCAAGCTTGCCTGGTCACATTCAAGCTGTATATGTTCACAACATTTTAAAATTAATTATCGCCATTTTAATGAAGGGTGATGAGATTAACGTAGCAAAGGAAGAAGTAACTAACTATTGAGACTACATTTTTTATGTGTCTAGCAATATTTATTACAATTACACAATTGTGAAAATTACTTGTAGATGGTTGAATGGAAAGAAAAACTAGCAACGTTTATTTGTAGTAGCGACTTGGAAGTACAGGAAAGATCGAGTTCTGCTGTAGCTTTACTTGAGTGCTTGATAGAAAACCCAAGCTTAGCCAGTGAAATGTCGGAAGCTTTCGTTGGCGAATTGAACCCAGTTGCCCCTAAAGCTCAAAGAAAGGTATATACCATTGACCTGCGATTTCGTATTTGTATGTTATATAAAAGTAAAAAAATTTTTTCATCTAAGGTGCCAATACCGGAAGATTTGGATCTCGATTCTTGGATCAATGATCCTCCTTCTGAAAGTTCGGATTCCGAGGATATGGATATGAACGAAATTTTTGTTAAATCGGAAAAATTCAACGACAATCATAGCAAGCGCCAGTCGTATGAACCTAGCACTGAGGAAATAGAACAGAAACGAGAAGCAAGAAAATTAGAGCAGCAGAATAATCCGAACTATTTGAAAAATTCCTCATCATCGCATAAGAAAATTAAGTTTAACGATAAGTCTGGGAATGATGACGATTATGAAAATATTCCTATTGCCGAATTAGATATTCCAGTGTCGTTAAAAGTAAACGATTCCAACAAATACTACGATATGCATAGAAGCAGTGAAGGACGCAAATATCGTAACAAAACTAACAAGAAAAAGAAACATAAGAAGAGTAACGGCACATTTGTTAAATGTTTTTATAAGTTTTTAACATTGTAACATCGAGTTTTATTATATAAAGTTTTTCATTGCAGATAAGAAGTGCAGTAGCTCGGAAGATGATGACGAAAATGCTTATCCAGAGCAATATGTAAATAAAGGAGTCGGAGAATTACCACCTGGAGCAGCGTTAAGCGACAGCGACGATAATGATTCAAAGGATATCAACGATCCTCACAGAGCACTCAATATCGATCTTGATATACCTTTGCGAGAAGATGAAAGGTTACCCGTCGTTCAACATCGAACTCCAGATACTCATGCTATTCGTAATAGAACTGATAAGACTGTCAACCTAGAAAAAGTAATTATTATAATACTCCATCTAAATAATTATGTTTTTTATGCTTAACTGATGTATACTTCTCGAAAGGGCCATAAAAAGCAAAAAAAGAAACATAGCTCCAAAGAAAGTAAGGTAAAAACTGAATCAAAAAATAATACAGAAGTTGACTTGTTAAAAGTTGATGATTTGGTGGAAGATCGAGGTAATCAAGAGGAATTAGTCGTGAAACAAAAAAATGTTGAAAGTAAAAAAACGAAACGTAAAAAAACTAAAAGTGTAATGAAAGAAAAGAAAGATCCAACTTACGAAAAAATCGGTAAAAAATCCAAAAAAAGCAAGAAAACTAAAGATAACCAGGGTTACGAAGAAACTGCCGGAATATCGACGCCTTCTAAAGAAATTTTGCCAAGTAGAGAACTCAATTTTGGTATCGAAAATAATATTTCTAACCAACGGTCAACCTCTTACAAAGAGTTGGCTCAAGATAAGACTATTAAATTACTTTATGAAATTCAATCGCTAGAACACGACACGAGTAAGATCGTTTTATTAATTTCATTTGTTAACAAAACCGAGAATGTTATTAAGGAAATGTTTTTTAACGTTATGGACAATTCAACTTTGAAATTAGAGCGGAGGGTATGTTATCTTATAGTAAATTATACATGATACATTTTATCAGCTTCCTTTTTTTTCTAACGAACTGTTTGACCTTTGATTTTCAGGTAGAAGACGAGTATGGTATAAAAATGAATTTCCAATTACTTCCTTTGGGCTCTGGTGAGGTGTATATTTCCATTTTGGTGTCAGAAGTGACATTTACTCAAAAACTTCGTGGCTTACTGACATATATGGTGCAAGGCCCTGACAATACTATCCAAGAGAAACTTGATTTTACATTACGTTTTCCTTGTAGTAATTTTATTGTAGGCCGAATTTCACATAATGATATTTTAACGGAATTGTTGAAAAGCGGTCAACTTTCGCATAAATTAAGAAATGAAGTCACTAACTGTAATGATTTCAATAGCGTGTTGAACGATATTTGTAATCAATGTCATCTTACGCTTGTGGAACACATTGATGACTCGGCTTCTTTATATGGCCAATCTTTAAAGGGTCACCACATATGTCTTTTAATCAAACAAAACGTAAGCTATAATTTTTTCATATTGGTTTTGGTTGGTGAGAAATTATAAATGCGCTACTTATTTAACAGACGAATTTTTTTTTTAGTCCACAACAAATACGTTGGTTATAGAAGGTAAAAGTGATAACAACTTGCTGCTATCGGAAATTCTCAACGAAATAGTAAAAATGTTGACATGAAGATTTTAAGAATATAGATTTTTGTGATGGCTATTAACACATGAAGTCTCAACATAATTTTGAAAAAAAATCAACACCTGGCATGTTTATACTGTAGACTAAATTACTTTCCTATTGACTTATACCTATAAAATACATAAACATATTCATAAATGAGCACATGTGAACATAATATGTGTTTAATGTAAGAGAGAGCGTAATGTACACAACGCTGTGTTAAAGTATAAGTGACAATACTTTACAATTGATCCTTTATTTCAAAAATTTTCATTCCATTGAGGTAAATGTGGATCGTTGAATGCTGTGAATATATTGTTTGTTACATGAAGGGTTATTGGCAATCTATGCACTTTTGCAAAAAAAGTTTTACAAAAATGAAATCACGTATTACTAAGAGATCAAATGCTTATATATAAACAATTTATAAATTTAAAATAAAATAAATTTTTATGAATATAAATTTTGTCGAGTAACTTATAATTATTTTATTTCGAAAGTTGTATGAAAATATTTTACATTCATCCAGCAACTTTCTGCAACAGTAAGATTTATTTATTTGTTTAATATTATCATATCGATTACTGTTTCGTATTTTAGAAAATTTTTATAGTTTTTTTAAGTGCTAATGTACTTTAGTTTTATTTTTTTCAGTTATTTTTAGATGTNAAATATAAATACCGATGGAAAATTTTAATAATTGTAACACTAAAATGTACACTTATATTTTAATCCTTTGAACAAAATAAAAAAAAAAGTTTCGTAATAAAAATAATTTATTTTCGGAGTTCACTGCACCCATATGAATCAATTTAACAATGTAGACTATTTGTTGTTTCTGAGACATACACTAAACCGCGACTTCCTAGTCATACAAAAAAAATTAAAAAAAACTGGAGGTTCCCATACTAATATACTGATGCCACCTTAATCAAAACAAGTCATGATTTAACGTCTGCACATATATAAAAATATAATATAGGTACGTATTTTTGGTAATGACCGAGCGTTAAAGTCGCTATTTGACATAACGCTAATGTTTGGCTAACGATCATATAGGTATAATATAGACGCGACTCCAATTACCGATAAAGCCAAAATAAGTAATTGCTTTCAATCTCGAGTTTTATATTGTTTTTTTTCAACATGAACTCATCCATCAAACTTTGTAATCCGAGTGGCTTGTCCGTTTATTAAAGTTTGATAGTGTACATTTTTTTTTTCTATGCCGAACGGAACATTCTCAAAAGAATGGTAGTTTTCCTACAAGTTTGAAAAGTCTTTGTTTGCGAACCGAGAGGTTCGTAAAGGAGACTTTTCGAACGAGTTCCGGAAAACTGCTTTTTCGCCCGAGGAAGTACCAGCCTCCCAAAACCACCCGAGGGCGGAAAA